AAATAAGATCAATCAATAAGGCTTGTCTATCTCTGATAGTTTCCGAGATATCGGTAAGAACAGAGCAAATCAAACGTATATATACATATGAGACACTGAGACTGACTGAATTTCTTCTCTTCTTAAATTACAACTAAAATTGATCCAAAAGTAAAACTATTAGTCAATTAAAATCGCATGTCGATGCGCAACAGACGGTTCTCTGAATTCTCAGTTAGATGGTTCAACGGAATTCTCTTTCTATACCGCTATACAGTTGTTTACCAGGAAAGAGTAAAGTAATCGTCGACCAAAGTTAGTTAAATGAGGTTATCGACCTAAATAGTTCACAAGTCTTAGAGATAGAGGGGAAAGGACCTCAAAAAGACCACGTCATCGAGGGTCGAGCTTTTCCTGTGGCCATCCCTTTCTTTTCATGGACTGTGTCTCGCACGCACAACCAAACTGGGTGCAGGTGGTGCTAGACGAGAAAACAGCTGTCCACAAAGCCTCCCGCCCATTCGTTCGCGTTTCCCTTTCCCTTTCCCTTTCCCTTTCCCTTTCCCTTTCCTTTTCCCTTTCCCTTCGACGCTTGCCACGCTGAACTTCTGTCGCCTCGACGGTCCCTTTCATTTTCGTCGCTGTCGTCATCGCCTGACATCTTGAAGATAACTACGCGATATACTTTAGCACTCGTACTTCAGCTGTCACGTATTCGAGTTAATTTCGACTCAAGTGATTTTTTTTTCTTTCATATACATTCTGTTTTATATAAGAGTAATTTATGTCTCTTTGAATAACTCCTCTCGTGATTCGCAATCTTCGCAATTTTTGCATATTCAAAAATGTAGCGTAAAAGCACTTTCATACTTTTCTTCTTATATGTCTACCAATTTAAAGGAAAATGTGGAAGAGAGTATTTTATTCTCAATTTTATTCCTGAGTTATGAATTCGCCGTAAAAAGAGTATTTAAATTTTAGGTAGCTAAAAATATATTTAGCTAAAATACTTATGTATATATACCTAAGTATTTCATATTCCTCTAAATATTAAAATCTCCGCGGCACACGATGTTTGTTTTCCTGTTGGATTGCTTGCGATTTTACTAAATTACTGAAATTGCATCACAGAGAACGCAGAATTTTTAGTAATGTACCAAAACGCAAGCAGTCCAGCAGAAAAACAGGTATCGTGTGCCGCAGACTTAACACTTCAATTAAAAAGTTATCGCAATGATTGGCACAGCCGGCACGGCATCGTCGAAGGCGCAGCGGGAGCCGGCACGCCGGCCCGCCGGGTCAGCTGTGCGGCGTAGCGGGCACGTCCACCGCACAGGGGACCAGACGTAAATGAATGTTGGGAGTTAAGCGAGCTGTCGCGACACGCGCCTACGGGGGAAAGAAATGAAAAAGCCCGCGCGTTGTACCGCCGGCGGCATCGACGGCGACGGCGACGGCGACGGCGACGGCGACGGCGGCGGCCGGCGTCGGCAGCATTCTAAATTTAGGAGGAAGTATTGATTTTACAATTTGGACCCCTCCCAAAGTAAAAAATAAACCAAGCCGAACGTACTCTACTTTGATAGAGTGCCTCTCCTCTGCGCGGCTCGTTTCGACGCACAGGCTCGGAAAGAGAGAGAGAGAGAGAGAGAGAAAAAGAGGGAGACGTGAGGAACGAAACAGAGTATGAGGAGACGGAGGAGAAGGTGATGGTGGTGGAGGAGGAGGAGGAGGAGGAGGAGGAGGGCAGGAAACGAGGAAGAGGAAACTGGCGAGGGGAAGAAACAGGGTGGAAGCGCGCGAGGGAGCAGCAGAGGAAGGGGGTAATAAAGAGGAGGAAGGGTGGCCGACAGGCAAGGGGAACGGGGGAAAAAGAGAGTGGCGAAATGCCGTAGTTCCACCCTGGTATGAAACAAAGAACAGAAAATTGATCGTTTGTTAAGTTTTATGTTTCTACGAGGCAGGCGGCGAGGCTCGTCCATCCGTCCGTCCCTCCCCTCTCTCATTCTTTCTCCTCCAACTGCATCTCTTTCTCCCCCCTCCCCTTTTATTTCTCGAGCCTTGTCCTTCGTATGGTCGATGTATTTCTTCCTCCCTCCCTTCCCCCGCCCCCTCTCTCTCTCTCTCTCTCTCTCTCTTTCGTCGCGACGTACAATAAGACGAATCGAGGAAATTCTACGCGGCGCGCTATGGGAAAAGAACCACGGGGCACGCAGAAAAACGCAAAAGGGACTGGGAAGAGAAAAGGATAGAGGGAGGAGAGGGAAGCAGGTACGGAGCTGGCAGGAAGGGCAGAAAAGATATAGGGGAGCGGGAGCGAACGAGAGACACGTGTACGCGAAAAAAGAGCAAGAGCCCGAGTCCGTGGAAACCGGACGGGATTGCATTCGTCGTCTGCTACAGATCGTCCGGGTTTTTTGGCTGGGAATAGAATCCAATTATCAGGAGTCGGGTCGTCTCCATCGGGTCGGGCAGGAAGGAAAGAGGAGGATGAGGATGATGGTGATGGCGATGGTGCTACCCTTACCACAGTTCCTCGGGTTTTCGCGTTTTACCTATCATACACACCTATACGTACACACACACACACACACACACACACACACACACACGGGGATACCCGTTACGTCAACTCAACTTTCGATGATCTCACCACCCCAGCGCTCCGGTTACGCATCTATAATTATATATAGTGATGGCGAGATAACGGGCAATCTCTCGTTTGCGGGGAGAGGAGATGCGGATTGTTTTGGACAGTGACCGTAATTCCAAATCGATGCGAGCAAGTCATCGAGATTCCCAATCCGTAATTCGGATGACTGATTCCAATAGTGGGTGTATATAATTTATATATCAGACGAATGTGAAGCATGAATCGTTCCACTGGAAACAATTGAGCATGGTTATGCAACATGGAGCAATTCTATTATTGCAAAACGTAATCTACGAGTAAATGACCTCAGAGAGACATTTATGAGAGATAGAATCTGAAGTATGTTTCTATGGTTTAAGAATGTTATTCACAGAGTACAATCTTATATAAGCTCGTCTTAAATTATATCTTAAGAATCCATCCAATAATCTATATGACTGTATCTTGAGATCGTGTTTTTAGATTATGAAATACTGACCCAAAAATTTGAAAAATAAAGAGTTAGTTTTCGATAAGCTCGAATAGTAGCTAACACATTTGTATTAGCTTGTCTTGAACTTCTGTTAATTTTACTAAATAAAAGAAGAACAATGATGATGTATTATATTAGATCTGTATCTGGATCTAGAGATATATTATTATTGATTCAGCTTTATTGCTATTGAAGCAAATTGTAATTTAACGATTATAAAGTTGGACAAGAATAAGGAGTTCAATTATGTCTCTTTTTTGTTTAATTTCCCTCCATCATAGTCAAAGAATATCGCAAATGAAAAGAATCGTACTGGGGAGCGGGGATACCCTCTACATCAAAGACGTTCTAGAAACGATGCGATTTGTTAGAAGGGAAATGCTCGGGGGAACACTCAGTTGAGTCGGGGAAAATTCCACTTTTCAAAATTGTGGTCTTTTTGAGACAGAGCCTGTGATATACTACGATACATTTGGCTGAGCAGTATTTTGGAAATAGTTTCGGTAATTTCAAGAAGTGCTCTCTTCTCCGGGGAACATAACAGCCGACTAGTGAGTCGCCCAGTCTATGTACATACATATATGTATTATGTATACATATATGATGAAAACGTCATTTTGCGGTGCGCTTGAAATGGAATTCTGAGTAGAAACAGGATTTCGAGACGGTGTTGGCAGCGCGTGGTTACAATTTAGTCTCTCTCCCTCGCGTAACCGAAAACTGAGTTAGGCGTTTCGTCATGATAACCGTGTTTTGACAAGAGACGAAGTCACAAGGACGAAGCTCTAATTAGCGACGACCAAGTTCGTTTCGGTCGCGCACACACGCAAGTACCATGGCTGCCGCGGAGCTTATATCGACTCGATTATTTTAATTGAAAATTGACAAGATAACTCTCGCAATGCAGCGAGGGACTGAGCTCGTTTCGAGCCGGATTCGAGATGAAATATCGAGGAAAATGGCAATTTTATTATATATTTCCCGTAAATCGAATTGTGAAATTCCACTTATCGAGTTTCAGTCATAAATCCAATTTCACGTTACAGCGAAATTCCGGAAATCGAGTTTCCGCGTATCCTGAATCACTCGCGACTAATTTCTCTATTTCGCGATAGAACTTCTTATATCGTCGACTTTCATATCAAGTGCGGTTCTGTGCTACAGGTTTCCGATTGATGCTTATCGTCACGACGTATCACCAATCAGCGTACTAATGTCTATCTATTATACAGCGATCTAACACGGGTGCGTCATCAAGTATCTATTACGAGGTAATCTTAATAGAGGCGATTAAATTATTAAAAGATTATACAAACTAATCCTTCTTTTTTTTGCAAGAAACGCATATCTGAAAAGTATATAACAGAGCTTCAATATATCACGGGTTCAAATATATTATACTAAATATATATTTATTTAGTATAATATATTTATAATAACTAACTAAATAAATATATTATACACTTTAACAAATATACAATAATTATTAAGTGATCTTACATATTCTTTAATATCTTTAAAAAGTATTTGTAAGATTTGTATATTTAAAAAATTGTATATAAATATTATAATTATTTGATGCTCCTAAGTTTTTGAAGAAAAGAAATGTGTAGGACGTGAATAATCCAATCGTATAAAACTAAGAGTTAATACGATAGAGAATATAAAAAAAAAAACGATAGATATCACTCGTGTCTGCCGATGTTTGATATTCCCATTTTCAATTCAGCTTGTTTTTCAAATAAGCGTTAACAAGTATAAAAAAAAAGGTTTAAAAAAAAGTTAATTTCAAGTGATGACTGTTGCGACTTTTCAAGATATGTGCACGCAAGATATGAGAAAGCGCGTCATCGACGCCGCGATGATCATTATCGCGATGATCTCTGCTCTGTTTACCTTGTGTGCTCGTAACGTTTTGCCTTCGCAAGCGAGCGTGACGTCGCAGTAGGCCTGCCGTTCGAGCAACTGCGAGAACATAGTCTGCAGGTTGCTGTGATGGTATTTCCATCTCAAGCAGTACTGTTGTGGGAACATGTTGGATGATGATGATGATGATGATCTTGAACCGGTCGTCGTAGCGGGTACGGGTATCGTTGCTGTTGCTATACAGCCTCGTTGTTGAAGCATGCGCGGCCCTGACGCCGCCACGAACTCCTCGACCGAGCCGGCCACCGTCGCGTTCGCTTCCGGTTCACCGTACTCTCGTCGCCCACCCTCTCTTCTTCCTGCGCCCCGCCAATGTCTGCAACATCGGAAGAACTCGCGTTAAGAAATCGTCTTGGGGACACCTTAATATTAGTTTTCACGAATTTTCAAGAAACGTAAAAAGTGATAAATCGTTTTGGAATACACACGATTTTCTAAGTATATCATGTTAAAGTTTACAAAGTTTATCTAGTCTCACCATTTATCTGGTTATCATATAATACGTAAGAGAAAACAAAATTTCTTTATCAAATATGTTTGCGTTTTGATAAAAATTTGTGGAACAAAATTTATAACGAATCGTTATTATCGCTAGGAAAAAAATATGGAAGGATATAATAATCGAACGATCTAAATGATTACAGTAGTTTATAGCAAAAATTACTTTGAACCAAATAAGATATTTCTTACAAATTTTTAAATGCCGAAAACAATACCGCAATCAAATTTCAACAGCACTACAGGTTTTCGAAATAATTGATGTTTAATATATCAAAAACAGCTTTTTGAAATATTATATATATATATATATACTTTTTTTTTAATAAAAAAGGTTAACGTGAAATTCTGATAAAAAATCGTGAATATATCGTTTATCTCCTATATTAATGTATACATTGTTTACTCCCTAAATTACATTTTTTAAATTCTAATATCTTACTTTTTAATTGTGTTATAAAGCTGTATTAACCATGTTATGATGAAATAAGTTCAAATACAGAATTTTTCTAAGATAGCGAATTTCCCTCCTATGACAATGAAGTCATATATATTTATAAGTTTGTAGTTATCGCACACAGTGTAATTTATCATGAGAACTTCCGCTAAATGTATTATATACATATATATTTGAATCGGAATAGAGGTTCGTAGCAATACGAACTTCAAAATACGAATTCAAGCTGTATTTCCATTACAAAATTGAAATTTATAAGAAGAAAAAGCTTAAAAATCTCTACTTTTGAAAGGTTATGTTTTTTTAAGTTTCTATGAGTTCGATCATTTTTACATACAGAAAATTACAAGCTAGACAAAATGAGCAATTTTTCTCTTATTTTGTGGATCTGTTACCAAAAACGCGAAAATTTTTGATTATATAACGTAAAAGCTTACAATTTTCTCAAAAAATCATTTTTTAAAAATGTTTTTACCATTTTTACTACTGAGTTATCATAGATTAAATAAAAAAAAAGCATTCTGACTGTTCACAACACTTCATTAAAATCATCACAATTCAAAACACAGATTTTTTAAGCTGAAACTATGCTCTATCGGATAGTTAATTTTTGCGCTGCATCCCTTAAGGTACTTCCCTCTAGGAGCATAATAATGCGTTATCCATATCTGCAAAAAAAATTTTTGCACTCATTCCGTTTAGCTAAAAAAAATTTTTTGTGGGAGCTGAGTAGGTAGTCAGCCCATCCATCCATTAAAAACAATCGATTTAAAAAATTAAATACACAAGATTTATGCACTATTTATGCGCTATCATATACACACAGTCTTAATTTTTGCGCTACAACCCTTAAGGCTCTTCCCTTTTGGAGCGAACAGTCATCCCTAAGTCGTTTAAAATTGCAAAATTAAATATTATGATTATGTAAAATAATTCTCTGATTTATACAATATATTATTATTTCCAAGCATTTTGGATTTTTGCGCTGCAATCCTTAAGGCACTTCCCTCTTGGAGAAAACAGTCACATTCATCCTTAAGTCATTAAAAATGGCAAAATTACACTATCTAACTATACAAAATATATGTTCGATTTATGCACTATTATTTCCAAGGAATTTCGATTTTTGCGCTGCAACCCTTAAGAAACTTCCCTCTCAAAGCGAACTGTAACATTTATATCTAAGTCATTAAGAATTGTGAAAATACGTGTTTTAACTGTGCAAAGTATATTTTTGATTTATGCGTTATAAATTTTAAGCAATTGCGATTCTATTAAAAAATCAGAGATGATAATGTAAAAGGGTTTTGAAGAAGTGCCCGAATACACTTAATATTCGAAAAAAAAAGAATGAAAATACCCATTCGAATACACTTCATTTTTATTCATCAAGAAACGAATAAATATTTTTAATAACGTAATTTACTTCGAATACATAGCGCATAAATCGAAAATATACTTTGTACAGTTGAGCATGTATTTTCACAATTTTTAATAACTTAGATATAAATATTACAGTTCGAGAAGTCTCTTATTTGAGAGGGAAGTCTCTTAAGGATTGCAGCGCAAAAATCGAAATTGCTTGAAAATAGTAGCGCATAAATCGAACATATATTTTGCATAGTTAGATAGTGTAATTTTGCTCTATTTTAACCGATTTAAGAATGAATTCGACTGTTTGCTCCAAGAGGGAAGTGCCTTAAGGGATGCAGCGCAAAAATGAAAAACTATGTTAATATGAAAGCGCATAAATGGCAAATAAATCCTGTATTTGATTTTCCAAATAGGTTGTTATTAACACGTGAAGGGCTAACTGACAGGCTACTCAGCCCTCCACAAAACATTTTTTTACTATATATTACATAAACGAAATGAACGCAAAAATTTTTTCTTGCGAATTTTGAAAACACATAAATAGTGCATTATAATATAATTTATTCATTAAGATTTGATTAAGTGGAAGTGCCAGCTAGGCAGACGTACAATATATTCATGATTAATTCTGACCATAATTTCAAGATAATGTTAATCTATGTTAAAATGTGTAAATGTTTTACTAAAAAATATCGCAAAAAAGCCATTTTTTGTATATTAAGTCTCAATCATTTTGGAAATTTGACATATTGGTAAAATTTGGCTTACGGCATCGTTACAGCAAAATCTAAAAGTCTATAAGGAACACCTTGTTTGGTTTGAAGTAATTAAAAAAAAAAACATTTTTGTAAACTGGTGTAATGGAACAATCTAAATGTTTTGCATAAATTCGCGCAAACATGAGCTTGCGTCGAAACACGCGCTCGCTGCAGATATAGCCCAACCGGTCATTGTCACACCGGTATCGGACTGGCAGGAAGTTTACCGTCACCGAAGGAAGGAAAGAAGCTTCATCGCGTATCGGATAGAATAACCATGCGTGAACGTTTATCGCACTATCGTTCTTTCTTTATTCTTCATTCAGTTAGAATGTTTACGCTCAAAGAGCGTATCACTTTTCGTACCGTTACTGATATTCTAATACGGAGAACGCTGAACTTTACAGCGAAACTTTTTTGCGCTTGACTAATGAAGAAAGCACATGTTGTGACTTTCATTCGGTTTGAAGTTTTAATTAGTTCAATTAATGAGATACGAAATGTTTTAAGTAAAAGTTCTAAAAATTTTAACTCATGGTTTATATAATTTCTAAATAATTTTAGAATTTTTAAACTTTAAATATTATTCAACAGGAAATTTAAAGCAAGATATGTAAGAGGCTTTTCTGTTCATCCTTAATTTTACTTGACAAGTTTTTGACATAATCTCATAGATCTTAGAGATCTTGACGGACGATTGCTCGTTTTTACTACTTACTAAATAAGTCTTCGAACTTCAAACTCACGATTAGACTCGAGAGTCGATTTGTTCTTCCCTCTATAATACCCTGCATAAACAAAGCTCTTGGGGATGATTTCCTCTTATGGACAGCAACTCACCTCACCTGAAATACAAAGAAAAAAAAGTTTTATTATACACTCGCCGGAGTGACATAATGTCGATTAGCACGCGATCAAGATTGACGTGTGATACGACTAGTCGCATGTTCAAATAGAGATGACAGCGGTATATTAGAGAGCAGTATATTAGATAGCACGATTGAAACCGAACAAATTAATCTGCTTCTCGGTTTGCTTTGAATCGCGCGATGATGGAAATGATAGCCGACAAGGGACATTTGCATTAGTCAGTATGGCATATTAAAATGAGGACTTGAAATTGCTAGGCTTTCGGAATCAATTTTCGATGAGATATGAGGAAAGTTGCATTCCGTTTATACGTTCCCACAGCAACCGTACGAATTCAACAAAATTATATCAGAGAATTGACACAAAAACCGGTGATTTCAAGAACATTCGAACCTTTTTAATTTTCATTTGCATCGATTATCGTTACCATTCTTTATTTACCATTTGTATGAAAATAATCCCTTTTTCGTATCTCTGAAAAGTCACGATTTATTTTATTGTTTGTATATATATATATATAGAAACTCGGTTTTGTTTGCTCACGCAATAAATAATTCTCTTGTTAATTAATCCGATGTTATTAAAGCGGACAAACTAGGTACTATAATGTTGTTTTATTCTCATAATTGCCAGTGACTTTGTAATAATGTTTTGTTAATAATTTTTAATTATTCCATATAATTTTATTGCTATAATTTAAATAAAAACTAAACATGATGCAAAATATTGAAAAAAAATTTATTACAATTTAAGCTCACAGATTAACTCGGGTTTAAATTTCATTAATGGTTATGTTATTATATGTCTCATATTTCATCTCGCGAGTAATGCTATCAAGTTTCTAAATTCGGAAGAGAGGTGTAAAGAATGATTTGATCGGCGCAAGCGAGGTAACCGGATGAATCCTTTCTGCCGTGTCAACGTATGTACATCGATTTACGAGGATAACGGCGCACCGCGCCGGATAACGACGCCCGGCAATTACAGTTAAATCGATTTCTATCCGCGTGGCAGCTTGTCGATCACGCTATACGCCGCACGCGCTGTGTTCTCTTCACTCCACTTTTTTGCATGGAGGGATTCCGCATTTACTATAATAATACTAACCGGAGAAACTACCCGGCGGCGAGAAACCTTGGCAAATAATTTGCCGAGGAGCTTTCACTGCCGCGTTTTCTATCGAGAATTTTCGATGGCTCCTTTTTCCTCCGTTTGTTGCGGCGAACTTTCACGGGGGAAGGACGAAAATAAATCCTTTATTCGCGCCAATGCGTCAAAACTAAGGGCCGAACACAGGTTCGCAGGAATTGCGAATGCGCAGTCGACTGATTCGAAGTAGAAACGATTCAAGCACGAATGGTTCGGGCTATCCATTCAAAAAAGCAATTGCTTTTCTGTGGTCTGAGAAGCTTTTTCTCTTTTCAAAATGCTTAGATTCGCACCAATCTGACGTTGATTTTTCAATCTTCACTGCTTTTTCAGATCAAAGATATCCGATTTTTGATCGGATTTCAAGGTCGACACGCTCAGTCATGACAATATAAAAAAAAAGTTCAGAGAAGGAAGAAACAATAAAGACGATCACATTCGATGAAAAATAAATATTCATATCGTGGTACAGTTTCAGAGACTGGCTCGTAACTTCGTGGAAAAAATAGGAAGGACCAAGAGTGCCAATTTCTTTTTAAGCATTGTCATATAAAAATCAATATGATCGCTACTGCATGTGAACATATTCCAGATTTACGAACTTGTACAAATAATTATGTTGATAATCTTAAATATTACGATATTTAAATAAGATATATATACATAATACTTAAATGTTACGATATTCAAATAAGACGTACTATATACATATTTTATTCTAAAAAAAGCATCAAAGAATTTCTTTCTTTTAAATCTCACGGATTCCATTTGATTATAAATATTATTTATTGAATCCTCTCACAAATATAGAAATTGTTTTACCTGGAACTTTGCGAGACTTTATTGAAGCTCGAAACTTTAGTAATACAGTCGCGTCGCGTCCAAGTAATCAATTAATCAGGATTCTTGATTATAACATTGACAATATAGAAAAGTTCTGAATATTTCTCTGGTACTATATTTATCGAACCAAAACATTTCATTCGTGAATTTTCTCTTGTAGGGTACGACAAAATAGAATTTTAGCAAACATCTAATTCAATTGTTAAAAAGAAAGAAAGATATTTAATGTACACGTAAACATGTTTTTCTATTATTTAAAAAAAAATATTCGTAACTCTCTATAGTTAAATATTCGATAAACACTACTGGCAAAATGCAGATGCAATGCAATCTGCATTGCGACATTATGATACACACTTATATGAATGATTCTCAAGTCCACTGCTCACCATATCGATTAACATAATATAAATATCGGAAGTGAGCTGATACGCACAGATACCGGGAGAAATATCGACAGCCACCTGTCGTTGATGTAATCGTCATCGCGGTAATTTCGTTGCCTGAAAGATTTATGACCGGTGTAACCGATAATGAAAACCGATTAAGGCCGATTACATTCAGAACTTGATTTCACAAATCCGGTACTTCGTGTTTGTCCTTGGCACTTCGTTACCGGAATGGATTTTTAAACGCATTCACCTTGCCATACGCACGCCGCGTTGAAGATCATGTCATCTTAATAGTTCGTAATGTTTAAGAATATGTTGCACATATTAATAAAAAAAAAAAAAAAAAAAAAAAACTTAAGAGAAGTACTATTAACGAAGATGTGTTTAACTAGCAAAGAAGATTTGAAACATTAATTATACAGAAAAACGCAAATAATTTCGTGATCCAATGTCTGAAATAACAAAGTATATCGACACTACAAAGAATATATTTCATTTTACTTTAATCTTGTAAAAATGAGAAGGAAGAAACAATCGGGAAAAAATCAACGCGAAATTTGTTTCTTTCTAATATTAAAAAACAAGAACTGTAGTTGTTTCACATTTAGCTTGTCATTCGTGTAATTTTCTACGGCGTTTTGAAACGCGTGCGTTCCGAAAAAACGAAGAAGAAGAAGGAAAAGAAGGCAGAAAAAGAACTAATCGAAGTGTACTCCAAAAATTAATTTTGCAGCGAGAAAAATGCGCACTTTACATTTTACATCTCGCCGGTAATCCCGACCTGTCTGGCCGGGGAAAACAGCGGCGACGTCGATCAACACGCTGACGGAGGATTGTCAGGATGTTAATTCGTGCCGAGTAACGAACGACGCCGGACGACGCATTGCATTATTGAGGTACGAGCTCGTCGCGATAATTCGTTGATTACAGCGGCGTTCGTTCAGGCACCAAGGAAACGGGAATGTGAATGCGCGCTCGTAAAAAGAGGAGAAGAACGACTTTGAAGAGAGACCAACTACGCGTAGACATCGTAAAAGTGTAATTGCTATGAAGGAAGAATGCATGTGCCTCGTGACGCCTTTGGAATTAAGACACGACTTCGGTTTTCAGATTGCTCTTTTATAAGTCGTCCTTAGGATAGAAACGGAAATTGACGTTACGAACGTTACTGATCGAACGATGCCCGATGGATGGCGTATATCTCTTATACTTTCTCTCGATAATAATAATAAGGACGCGAAAATATACTTATTGCGCACTGAAAACGTGAGCACTACATACGAAACTAGTTTCACATTATTGTATTAATGATACTTTGTTATGTAGATTTTACATTTGTTATGTAGACTAACAATAATTACAGGGATCATTTTTCTTCGGTTCGTTTAACAAGAAGATTAAATGACGATAAGAATATTATGTTGTATTTATAATATTATTTAATAATTTTCCGAAATTCTGAAACTGTTGAAATATCAGCGTAAACTACGCGTGTAGTTTTAATCTTTTTATGCACAAGATTTACAAAATGTTAAATCACTTACATTCCTGAGATCTTCATTTTATTCATATCTATTAAAATACATGAATAAGATGAAGATTCGGCTATCCCACTAATTATATTCAGTTAAAGTCCTACAATATTTTTTTACTGGGAAAACTAACAATACTGTTGCACATTGAATACAATTGAATATAAATTAATTCACATACATTTTCAGTATTAACAAATAATTTAATTACATACTCTTTATTGTGACAATAACTTCATAATTTTAAAAACATTGAATTATTTATTAATACTAAAAATATGTAAACCAATTTGCATCTAATTGCACCAATGTTGCACTAGTGTTTCCAGTAGAAAACGTATAGAGATTTATATGATTAGGCTGAAGAAACTAAACGGTAGTATGATCTAATTGGCTCTCATATAAGAAAATGGCACTATGGTCACATGATATGGACAGCCAATCAGTCTCTAAAAGATATAATCCTTAGAAGATAAAGTCTGGTCACTCACTGTGACTGTTTTCATTGGTTAATTCTGAACCTCCTCAAAATGACAGTACCAATTCAAGTATAGCATTCAAAGAACACACATACCAGTTCATACTATACACACACATATTCATACCAGAGTCACACATATAACTGTTTTGTAGTACGTGACTAAATTCTATCCTTTAGGGACACTAGAACATTCATATTGAAAAGGAAAAAGAATAATAGCGTCGGTAACTAACCTCTAGTTATATAGGGCTCTATATTCTAATACTTAAATAATGTTTCCTACATCGCTCCGGATGCTTTTCTAGAATAATATATAATTTTACACATGCATAATATATATATCTCTTGTATAGAAATTTCAATAAAATTTCCTTGATGTCATCAATATATACGTACAACAACTAAACGACCATCATCTTACCATATTAATGGTTCCTAGCTTGAGAATGCCAGGATCAAAGGATGTCGGAGATTTTTGTTATAATTCGAGGAATTTTTGTCATAATTCTTGCATAGGGGAGAAATACAAACAGGAGAAAGAATAGAATACCGAGGTATTCAGGTTTCGGTGTGAGGAA